TCCTGACTCTCAGGCTGTGGTCCTTTGTCCTCCCTATCTGATAACATCATCCCCGCCACACAGGGGAAAAGGGATYCCCTTTAGTTCTAGCTTCAAATGCAGCCCAAAGTGTGAAGATGGAAAGGCCTTGCAGGGTTCCCCCAGCTGCCTTGCTCTGGACTTCCCACGGTCCCCTCAAAGAGAAATCACTTGGGTAAGGTCTGGTCCAGGAGCCTTCAGTTAAATGTGAATTTCCGTCAGGTGCGGCTCACCTCAGGGACCAGCTTAGAGAGGGTCTTCCTTGCAGGAAGTGGGGGGAGTGAGGGGCCCTTGGAGACTGGGCGAGGAGGTGGGGGTAGGTAAGACTTTACCAGATCCATGATTCCCTCCTCCAGTCCCTTCTGGCAAAGGATCGGGGGATGTGAAGAGGAGCAGACATTCCCTGCCCTTAGGACTTTGAGACTGACAGGACAGATGGGCAGGTGTGTACCTTCCACTAAGGTAAACCCCACTGTGTTCCTTGAGAAGGCAAATGAGATTCTGCGGTATCSTCACTGCAGGTCCTGTCAATCTGGCTGGCAGGGCAGAGGCAACAGCGGTACCAAGAGGAGGCTTCTCCCGGACCTCAAGACAGAATTCACCAGGCAAAGGGGAAGTGATACTTAAAACAGCCATTGCCGTGTCCCGGAAGATCCTACGCGCAGAGCACTAAATTGTCACTTGTTTTTCTCTCATGGAATCCTAACACCCATGCTGCAAGACAGATATTGGCTGTTTTAGAGATGAGGCTCAGAGAGGCTAAGTAACTTTCTGGAAGCCACACGGCTCCACTGAGCCTTTGGTCACCTTACTCTGCTACCTGTATCTGCCATCACAGGCTGGAAAGCAACCTGGGAAATGAGGATCTCTTATGTTGTCACAAGAAATGTGGGAGAGACTCACGCCCTGGAGATCACAGCARTGGTACCAAGGAGAAAGAAGAGGGGGACGGCGAGAGGGAATTCATAATTGATCCTACGGTGAGGCTCACACGCCACCCTGCTTCCCCCAACAGGAGTTCTGTGCAAACACAAATCAAAGCATCCAACTGCGCTTCGGGGGGAATGGAGACATGATGCCCTACACGGCCCCCAGAAATGGACAGAAGGAACCCAGAAAACCCTGAGCAGGCCCATTAAATGCTGAGGTTGAAACACGGCCAGACTCGCTGAGCAACTGGGGCTGTAAGCTAAGGAGCATGCGCAGGGCAGGTCTGGGGCTCAGGGGRATTGCCACTAACCTCAGCAGGAAGGCAGGGCCTGCCCCGCCTGGAACCCAGGTGGCAGCTGCCTGGGGGCCCTGGACCTGGAATCCTTGGCCTCTAAGCCAGCCTCCTGCAGGACACCGCCCCACGCCCCTCACCCCCTCCTCAGCCACCTCCCAACGCTGCACTCCGTCACCTCCATTTTAGAGTTGGGGAAACTGAGGCTTCAGGGGCAAATCCTGGCCACTGAGAYAGCAGGGGAAGTCGGCTGGGGGTTCTAGAAAAGACTATCCTTAGCCTGGCGCAATGGCGCACACCTGTAATTCCAGCAGCTGGGGAGGCTGAGGCAGGAGGATCACGAGTTCAAAGCCAGTCTCAGCAAAAGTGAGGTGCTAAGCAACTCAGTGAGACCCTGTCTCTAAATAAAACACAAAATAGGGCTGGGRATGTAGCTCAGTGGTCAGTGTCCCTGAGTTCAATCCTGGATACATGTTATTTCTCTATGACAGAAAAAAATGGGTCCCCCTTTTTTGCTTCCTTTTTTGGAAAACCGTGGCATGAGACATGATGCCTGGAGCCTTTGCTGCCCTTCTGTGACTTGGAGGAATATCATGGAAGACCCACACGGGATGGTGGAGAGTGAAGTCAAAGAGTCCAAAGTCCCAAGGGAGACCAGTGGGGAGGCTGCCACAAACAAGATGCCCATGTAGTAGAATACAGCAAAAAGACGGCCYGTAATAAGAATGCAGCCCCACGTGACCAGGGAGCGGTGGTCATGCTTGACTATCACCCTTCCTCTCCTTGCCCAGCCAGCAGCCCTGAGGCCGCAGAAAGAGGGTGCCCCCCCATTCTAGCTCAGCTATGAATTACTGATGAGAAAGAAAAGTGTAGTAGCCCCTCTTTCTTTAACAAATAATAATTGCTTAGCAATTGTAAGTAAGATCTGAAATAGGGAATTTCTCTGGGCATGGCAGTGCACACCTGTAATCCCAGCGACTACGGAGGCTGAGGCAGGAGGATCACCAGTTCAAGGCCAGCCTTAGCAACTTAGCGAGGCCCTAAGCAACTTAGCCAGACCCTGTCTTAAAAGAAAAAATCAAAAGGGCTGGGGTATGGCTTAGTGATTAAGCACCCTGAGGTTCCAAACCCAGTACCAAAAAAAAAAAAAAAAWTTCTCTAAAAGAATGGAAATGAAAAGTTGTAAKTAACTGTAATGAACAAGGTTCCTGCTGGCTAGCTTTGCAGGCACAGGGGAGGCTCATGACACATGCACRTATGCTCTGACGGGTCGTCTGTCCTCTGTCCTTACCCTAAGGAACGAAGTCCCTGAAAGGCCCGCAGCACCCACACTGAAGACCCCTGTGCTGCAGGGACATCACTCAGATCACTGCTAAGACCTGAGACAGCAACTGTGATAGTTCACGGTGGCTTGAAAATGTTCCTGTCCAGCTCGGCGATTCAGGAGTCAGCTTGCCCCCTTTCCGTAGCAGACATGACTACACTGCAAAAGTATAAGAACTTCGACGTGAACCTGAGGCATTAGGAGAGCCAGCCCACCATCCCACTTATTCTGAGGGCTTTCAGTAAAGGGAAACCTGACAGTTCATCTCCTAAACCCAAATGCCACGYGATGGTGTGTGTGTAGACACTCACGTATACCTGGGTGGTCTCCACCCTGGTAAATGGCTTGGGGAGCATCCAGCACATTAATAATGGGATGGCAGCTAAAGGCCCATATGGCTGAACTCTAGATACACAGCCCTCTTGCTGTGCTGGGGATGGAACCCAGGACCTTGCACGTGCTGGGTGAGCACCCCACCCYTGAGCCACATCCCCAGCTCTSTTTCCTTTTTTTTTGAGAAGGAGTCTTGCTTAATTGCGCAGGCTGCCATCGAACTTGGGATCCTCCTGCCTCAGCCCCACGGGGCCTCTGGTATTACAGGGGTGCACCACAGCGCCCAGCAGACATACCCAACTCTGTCTCGACTCCGGAGACAGTATTCCTTTGTTAAAGTCAAATTCTAGATCTTGCAAAGACTTAGTAGCAAGCTGGGCAGGAGTCAGAAGCGTGTAAGGGACGTGTGACCTTCCTGCCAAGTGTCTGTCCTCCGGGGCCAGCAGCTGGCTTTCCCACTGGGAGAGCAGGACAGCCACTCCTCCCGTGGAACCTGGCCAGAGCTTCCCCCATCAGGGTCGGAGAAATCAGACTCCGAAGACCTCCCTCCTCAGAAGCTGCTCACAGGATCAAGAGACTCTGACTGGCTAATCGGAAGCTCCCTGCTCCTGGGGACTAAAGGGGTCTCCAGGCTGAAAAGGATGGGGGTCAACATCTTTTTCTTCATTATGGATCCACTGGTCCTGCCTCCAGCACAGTGTTTAAAAGCAGCCCTCTTGCTTAAAATTTAAAATGGACATCTCCCTCTCCACTTCTCTAGCCATTCCTCTTGCAGAACGAGCTGCAGGAAAACATTGCATCTAAGGACCCCAAGTTAAGAATTCTACTATTGCAGCTGGGTGTGATTATGGACCCCGTGTAAAAATGCCCTGTTAGCAGGGACACCAGCTCAAAAGGGTAGAGATTTGGAGAGAGGTCCCAGGCAGAGATGGGGAAGGGTCCTCAGGTAGAGGCCTCAAGCTGGACAGGTTGAGGGGAGAAAGGTCAGGGGCAGCCAGTCCAGAAGGTGGAAGTGGAGCTGGAGGGACAGAGGATGGGGGAGGAAGGTGAGGTAGCTGCTCCGAGGCCCTGGTGGTGAAATCTCTCTGCAGATGCTGAGGACTGCAGAGGGCAGTGACTCAGGACTGGGCTTTGGGACAGAACTGGTGGGACAGTAGGCAGTGAGAACAGGGCTTTGATGGGTGCTGCGAGAGGGTCAGGGCTGCGAGAGGATGGGGCTTGAAGGCTTCCAGGGAGGGGATAGGGCTGTGGGGGCAGGGCTGTAAGGATGGGACTGAGGGGCGTGGCTATGGGAGGTGGGCTGTGAGGGCGGAGCTGTGAGGACAGGGCTTGAGGGGCTGTGAGGGTGGGACTGAGGGGCGTGGCTATGAGAGGTGGGCTGTGAGGTGGGGCTGTGAGGGCGGGGCTGTGAGGGCGGGGATTGAGGGGCGTGAGTGCTGAGGTTGAGGGCGGGGCTGTGAGGGTGGGACTGAGGGGCGTGGCTATGAGAGGTGGGCTGTGAGGGCGGAGCTGTGAGGGGTGAGGCTTGAAGGGCTGTAAGGGGCGGGGCTTGAGGGGCAGTGAATGGTGAGGCTGAGGGCGGGGCTATGAGGGTGGGCTGTGAGGTGGGGCTGTAAGGGCAGGGTAGTGAGGGCGGGGCTTGAGGGGCTGTGAGTGCTGAGGCTGAGGGTGGGGCTGTGAGAGGCAGAGCTTGGCGGGGCCAGAGGGCGGGGCTAAAGTCTGGCATATCCCCATATCCTAGTCGGGAGCCCAAGGCTAACTGGTTCCCTCTTCACCCCACCTGGCTCCTCCATGTTCCTTGATCCCTGTCTACACTCATCTGTGGAGGTCTCTGCCAGTCAGACTGAGTTGTGAGGGTCTGTCTCGGTGTTCCATTCACCTTTTGTGGGAGCGCGCGCGCGCACACACACACACACACACACACACTCATACTCACACACACCCTGCACACAGAAGGTGCGCCATAAACAGGTTCAACTCTCATCTCTGGGATTAATCCAGCCTCCCCTAGAGCCTCTCCCAGAGCCTCCCCCAGAGCCGTGCTGGGGCTGGATTCATTCTTAAGGACCGAAAGGGCGGAGCAGTCCAGTCCAGGGCCTTTACCTCACGAGGTTGGCGCAGGGCCCAGGCCACCGGCAGCTCTGGTACACACGCTGGACCACTGTCTCCGAGCCATTCTGCACCTGGCAGGACACCGTCCGGGTCACCGTGTGATGGCACCAGTGCCTGTGGAGAGAGCAGAAGTCGCGTCAGCCCTGTCTGTTCCTGGGGCACTGACTGCAGTTCAAAGGTTGTGCTGGAGGAGGAGGGTCCCCTCACGAACTTGGAGCACTTACTTTTCTTGGATCAGGGGCCCACAGAGACCCTCTGCTCAAGTCTGAGGGGAAGGGACAGTACCCACGCCATTTGGCCTCTGAGCACTGGCATCATTTTAGSCACTGAAGACACTCTGTGAAAAAGACTCAGCCACCGCCTTGACATCTGGGGCAGGGGAGGACAGGTGACAAGGAGAACGGAGCTACCAGAATCCAGGTACAGGTCCATCCAGGGAGCTGTGGGAGCAGAGCAGGGGTGGTCCCAGGAAGGGCCACCAGCTGAGCACTGAAAGATGGGTTAGCTGCTTGGGAGCCATGAGGGAGCTGACGTTAGCAGAGGAAGGAGGGGAATGGGTGGGGACACCATATGAGAAACCAAGGCGTGTCCAGGGGCCTGTGTGCAACTAGAAGTGGCTGGAAGGCTGAAGGGAAGGAAGGGCCAGGGAAAGGGAGAGGCCCCAGGCTAATATGGCTCTTCTCAGGAAGTCAGTGGGGAGCCACTGAAGGTTCTAAGCAGGGAAGGACTGCTGCAGTGTGGGCAGCAGAGGTGCAAGGAGAGGGCACAGATGCACACCATATGGGCACTGGATCAAGATGGCCAGCAGGCCCACCCCTCCCACCATCACCAGATCCTGGAAACTTAACAGTAGAAAAAATATCCAGAATAACATTGGAAAACAAGAAGCCCTGGACCAGAATACCTGAGGAGTACTTTAGAGATAGAAAGCAAATGGAAGTAATTTGAGGCACAGCCAGGAACACGCAAGAAAGAGGCCTGGGGCTCAAGTGGGAGCAACTTAGGAGCAGCAGATAAGGGCAACACCCTAGGGTGGCTGCAGGATGGATTGGTTAGGGGAGACAGCTAGTTAGTGAGGACTCAGGTAACCCCACTGCTGGTATCAAGATTCAGGCATTGGATTCACCTATCCACTGGCAGGTGTGGTCAGAACAGGTGCCTCACAAGCTGTTGACCCCCAGGGACACGTTTAAGGTCAGATCACTGAATTCTTGCATATTCTTTCCCCATTCTTCTTTGGCAAAAGCCAAAGTCTCAATAAACAGAGACAAACCCATGAAATTATTTGATAAAAATTTTTTAAAAGTCTAACACTGTGAGAGAAAGGCACCAACTCAACGGGCAATAAAATCGCACCTCTAGAAAAAAAAATTAATAAAAAATATATGGAGACAAATTTTACAAGCATAATTAATGTCCTCCAAGAGATGAGAGCATGCCACTCATAAAAAATTGTGGAATAAAATAAATTTGATCTCTTAGAAATGGAATGTATGACCATGAAAATAAAACCTCCATGGATGGATGGAAGAATAGAATGGAGGGAAGGAAGGAGGTCCTGAGGAACTTCAAGTCTGAGCTGTGAACTTCCCCTGGAGGCCCTGCAAAGGCACAAAGGGACAGACAATGTAGGGAGAAATGGGAGGGATCTAAAGTCAGGCAAGTGCCAACACCTACTGATTAGTAGCCCCACAAGAGCAGATCAGAGACAAAGAGAAGCAGACACATGAAAAAGTAGCAAAGGAAATGTCCCAGAGCTGAAGAAAGGCACCAGTTCCTAATTCAAAAGGGCCCATTGAGTATGTGCTGAAATTTCAGAACAATCAGGATGAAGAGAAAATGCTAAATGCCATAGAAAGCCAAGAAAAAACAAACTACTTACAGTAAGTTTCAATAAGATTTTAAAATCAGCAACATCAGATTCAAGAATATGGTGACAAATTTTTCTCAATTCCTAAGGGGAAATATTTAGGATCCATAATTTTATACCCAGCCAAATTACCCTCAGGACCAAAGGCCAAATAAAGATTTCAGATGTGTAAAGACTTAGAAAGTTTACCAGTTACCCCTTATGAAAGAATCACTAGAGGAGGTATCCCAACAAAACAAAATAAAGGACATAGAAAAAAAAACATATTAGAAGAGTAGTTACAGGCAAAGAAACAATAATGAGATTTAGTAATAGCCTCGCTCTAAAACAAAAGTGATTTCAACATGGAAGATGGCCAAGAGGAGAAGTTATAAAGAATTAAAATTGCAAATTTTTTTTCATGTTGAAGGAGAGGATATAGAAGTTGTGCCACTTTAAGTGTAATTAAAAAATATATACAATTAAATAGTTTTGAATTTAAAGATAAATACTAGGAAGCAGAGAATTAAAATGTAAAAATGCAAGCCATCCCGCACTAAAAGGAAAATAAAGAGTAAAACAAAAGTTGATCAATCCACAAAATGCTAGGAAATACAAAGTAAGTAGCAAGAAATAACATACTAATTAGAAGACAGACAGGAAAATGAGAGAATAATTGAATTAATAAAAAGAAAGCCAAAATTGGGGCTGGGGTTGTGATTYAGTGGTAGAGTGGTTTGTTCCCCAGCACTACATAAAAAATAAAAAATGAATAAATAAATATATTGTGTCCACCTACAACTAAAAATTTTTTTAAAAGGAAGCAAAAATTARTTAAATAGATCATATTAAAAATAAATCAACAGAATCCAAACACAGACTTTTTGCAAAAAAAAAAAAATCTTATCAACAAAGCTTAGACAATTCTTAAGGAGAAAAAAAAGTCATAAACATAAATAACAAATTTATAGATATTAAAAATTACAAATAAATATTAGGTATGATCTTTCATCAAAATTTGTCAAAATCTTGGACAATTTTCTATGATATACTCCCAAAGTGAAAAAATGTCCCAAAAGAAAAAGGAAAAGTAGTCCAAAGTCCACCCTCCCCTCCCACAAAGTCACCAGGAGACCAAGTTCAAAACCCAGTTTTGCTACCAGCTTTCTTAGGCAACGGGGTGAGTCCTTTTCTGAACTTCAGTCTTACACACGCCCACACGAACCTCTCAATGTTGCAGCCAGGACTAATTGAACGCATCCAGGTCAGCGGAAACCATGCAGGGTGACRTGACTGCAAGGATCACAACTGACTGGCTGGCCACTAAACCCCACAATGTCAGTAACAATTGAGGGATTGTCCTTTCCTATTTTGCAGATGGGAATAGAAAGTCTGTGTGGATAAGGCTCATGAGCAGGGCTGCAGCTCAAAACCGAGGCTACCCTGAGAAAGAAATTCAGCCCTCCCACCCAGGGTCCCACCTACCCAATACAAACCATCAATCTTGCCTCTTCCTGTAGCCCAGAGAGACATCCTGAAACTGGATAGCCCTTCCTTCCTCTCGGGCTCTGTATGGGCACTTAGCATGTGTTTCAGAGACAGAGGTACAATTCTCTTTRGGATAAGCTACCATCCCATCCAAGGATAAACGCTCCACCCTGATATCCACATCCCAGCCCTGGGTTTTTGGAATAGACAGAGTCCCGCCATCTCTGAATTGTACTGGGTCAGAGCTTTCTATAGGGAAATGAGCTGTGAATTGGAAAACCTTTTCCAAAGCCTCCAATCACCATCTCTAGACATCTGATCTCTCTCTTTTTTTTAATATTTATTTTTTAAGTGTAGATGGACACAACACAATTCCTTTTTTTTTTTTAATGTGATGCGGAGGATAGAACCCGGGCCCCGCCCATGCTAGGCGAGGGCTCTACCAATGAGCCACAATCCCAGCTCGACATCTGATCTCTTAATGGGCTATAAATGGCTTCCGATAATCCAGACCTGGCCAAACAATGAAGACTGTAAGGAGAGGCATGGACATAGGGTTCTGGGCCTGTCCCGATGGAACTCGAAACCCACTTCATCTCAGGATCCCGTGGTCAGGGGACCAATATGGCCTACTTCCTAGGGTCCCCATGTCCTGTGTCTTCTGTTTGCTGAGTGGCATCATGTCATCGCTCACTGCACRCCCTGGTCTCTGATCTTGGTCATGGGCAAACAGGAGTCATTGGGCTACAGCCTAACCGCAGGTGGAAAGGGGTTCCTCGGGAGGGGTACAGCCCTTTTCCGACCCCCCCAGCCCAGGCACACAGAATTTGGGGGTGTCAGGTGTGGTCCTCACACATGGGCAAATTCTTGGCAGGCTCATCAGGATGGRAAGGGACTGGCATTTTCTTTGGGCCTCATCTGAGCGATGTTTCTCTGTCAATTCCCCCTGTTCCGMAGCCCAGCTCTCATGGAGGGTCCARGACCCAGGGACCTCCACCCTTGAGGCTCAGGCTGAGGCCTCCCTAAGCCCRTGCTTCCCTCTGAGCTTCTCTTTGGGGTCTGATCTCATGTGTTCCCTTCCACCCAGGGACCCTGAGCCCTGAATCTGAGCCCGCCAGCACTTGTTTCCTCCGTCCAAGCTCTGCCCCCATGRTGGATCACCTCAGTGTTTCCCCTTGAACCCCACTGTGTGTGCCCACTCGCCTGGACAGTGGTCATGCATCATCAGAGCTCTCAGGACATCCCAGGACACACAATTGCTGTTGGTGCTCTACTGAGCTCATCATATCCAGCCCCAGCCGGCTCCTCCAGCACACTAATTCCCCATGCCCTTAGAGAAACCCCCAGGGGCAAGGAAACACCCCAGGCTCCACCTTCTGTCTCCCAGCCATGCCCCCATGCTGGGCAAATCGACTCCTGACCTTCTGATTCCCTTTTGTTCCTGGACAACCAGCCTCAGCCCTCCTGGTCTCCCACATCTTGGTGTCTCTCCCTGCAAGTTCCTCTACCTGCCACCAGGGGGCGCCATGCAGAGCTCAAACCTGGCGCCACCCTGGGCTCCCTCACCTCTCTGCTCTCCACATCCACAAGGGAAATGCCTGCTCTGGCCCACTTCCAGCCTGCTCCGTCTGGCCATTTCCATTATCCCCTTGTACCCTGGAAGGTCATTCACTTTCTTCTGTTTGGTCAAGTCTCACTTATCCTACCAGTCTCCACCCAGGCTCCTTCCCCTCCTGGGTACCTTCCCAGCCAGGAAAGGGCTCCCATCTCAGGTTCC